GGGGGGGGCTGAGGGGAGCTGTGGAGGGTGGGGGCTTCAGAGGCGGCAGAGGGGACATGGAAGTGTGCTGAGCTGTGCAATTTTACTTACAGTTCTCTGAAATGGAACAATAGCATGGATGCATACATCTCATTCAGACCTCTCAGCCCTGTTGTTAAAGCCTTACTCCCGGTCAGCTGTGTCCTACGGCTCCAGACTTTAATAACAAAAGGGCAACAACAACAAAAAAAAGATGGTCTTCCTGTGGAAATGCATGAAAATGGAATAATATCAGGAAATGGGAAGCGCACAAATCACTGTGAAATCTAGTTAGGCATACCACACACACACATAATACATCCAAGGTATTTCTTCATCGTGGCCTGTGAGCCTCTGGTGTATCACGCATAGACATACAGTAAGAGGCAAGGAGCTTAGTAAGGACTGTTCTTTCTCTTCTGGACTGTGGCGCGAAGCTGACATTATGCATGCAGAGATCAAAGAAGAAAATAACGAAAAGGAAAATATTTATCCCAGTATAGAATCTTTACTTCTTCAATAAAAGAGAAAAATTCAAATAGCACTGTAGACTATAAGGATGGCATAAGTTATCTTATTTCCATGAATGTGGCAGATGATTAATTATTTAAAAGTAATGCATTCATATTCTGCTCACACCACATGACCAACTGATGTTAAAATCGTCATGCTACATTATTAATTAACATTAATAATAATAAAATTATATTGGCTAGATATTTAACCAACCGGACTAAATTTAGCTGAAATGATATCATTCTAATTATAAATAAAGTTATTATTAATGTTGTGCTAGCACAAATTTACACACACAAACACTGTAAAAGTACTACCATTAAATTAGTGGCTGTTTTAACGATTTAAACTTTTCTGAGCAACAGTGCTGTTAGAGGCAGAAATTATTTCTAGAAAGATAAAAAAAACTAAATATCAGAGAAACAAAGATAAAAGCAAGACTATAGCTCCTGTGAAGAAGCACTTAAAAGTAGCAATACCACAATATAAAAATACTCTATCAAAAGCAAATGTCCTGCATTCAAAGTTTTACTTAAGATAAAGTACAGGAGTATATTATCAACAACGGGTATGTAAGGTATTAAAAGTATCATAAATGACTGAACATCATTCAGTCAGCAGCTTATTTAAAGTAGTTAATATTCAATTTACTCTATAACAATGTATTGTGTTCAACATAGGCTTTCTTAAAATCAAACAATAACTATCAACTGTGGCTGTACATGTAACAAGCTAGCTTTTAGTAAAGCCAAAGTGGGAAATACACAAGTAACTCAAAATTGTAGTCAGGTACTTGAGATAAATGTAGTTATTTAAGTTAACTGTTAGTTGGACATTTGAGGCTAGACTGCAAAATAAAGCCTCTGTAGCTTAATTTTCCAGATCAGCTAGCCTAATAGCCAATAAGCTACTTGGCTAGCCTGCTGCCCACTTCATCCTGCTAGCTGTTAGCATGGTTGGAAGAAAAACTTTGTATTTTGACATATATTTTTACTAAAGGGCTCCAACCTGTGTGGCATTGTTGTTTCAAGGTAGGTCCTCCAAACAAATTACAAATAACATAGGTCCTCATATACCTGTATTGAGCAATGTAATGTCACTGTAGATATTTGTTTGTCCATCTCTCCAATTTCCCCTTTCAAAACACCAATATTGGGGTGAATTTTCACCGGTGGGAATGAACTAATTTACTCAAGCACTGTAGGATTTAAGTACAAATCTGAGGTACTTGTACTACTAAAGTATTTCTATTCTATGCAGCTTTATACTTCTACTCTACTATAACTCATAGATCCTCCATTGTCCTTTTTTACTCCACTACAGCTTTAGTTACTTTTCAGATT